GCGGGGCTCGATCCCAGGACCCTGGGATCATGACCCGAGCCGAAGGCAGACGGTTAATGACTGAGCCACCCAGGCGCCCCTATTTTAAATTTATTTTAAATTTATTTTAAATTTATTTTTAAACAGCTTTTCTGAGATATAATAATATACTCTACAAATTGCCAATTTAAAGTATACACTTTGATGGCTTCATGTGGTTGTGCCTCCATTTCCACAGTTCATTTTGAATCATTTTCATCACCCTGAGAAGAAAGGAAGAAATCCCCCTAACCTTAGCCATCACTCCCCAATACTGCCATTCCCCAAGCTCTAGGCAACCACTGATCTGCTTTCTATCTCTGGATTTGCCTATTCTTGACATTTCATATGGTAGAATCATAGCGTATGTGGTCCTTTGTGCCAGGCTTCTTTCACTTAGTGTCGTGTTTTCGAGGTCTGTCCACATCATTCCTTTGTATGACAGGGTGATATTCAGTGTACGGCCATACCACATTTATTCATTATCAGTTGATGGATGTTGGGTTGTTTCTACTTTTTTGTTATTATGAATAATGATGCTGTGAACATTTGTGTACAAGTTTTGGTGAGGACATGTGTTTTCATTTCTAGGGGTAGAATTGCTGGGTCACATGATCATATGGTTTTAACCATCTGAGGGGCTGTCAGGCCATTTTCCAGTCCTACCAGCAATGCCTGAGGGCTTCAGTTGCTCCAGATACTCATCAGTATTTTTTAATTAACTTTCTGATTGTGGCCATCCTAGTGGGCGTGAAGTGGGATCTAACTGTGGTTTTGATGTGCATTTCCCTGCTGGCTGATAATGTTGAGCATCTTTTCATGTACTTATTGGCCATCTGTATGTCTTCCTTGGGGAAATGTTTATTCAACACTTTTGCCCATTTTGAAATTTGTAAGAGTTTTTTTTGTATATTCCAGATACCAGTCCCTTATCAGATATGTGATTTATAAAATTTTTCTCTCATTCTGTCACTTGCCTTATTACTTTCTTGATAGCATCCTTTGAAGTACAGAAGTTTTAAATTTTGATGATATCCAGTTTTTTTATCTTTAGTTGCTTGTGTTTTTGGTGTCACATCTGAGAAACCATTGTCTAATCCAAGGTCATGAAGATTTATCCCTACGTTTTCTTCTAAGACTTTTATAGTTTTAGCTGGACATTTAAGTCTTTGGTCCATTTTGAGTTAATTTTTATATTTGTTGTCAGAGGTTCGACTTTATTTGTTTGCATGGGAATATCCAGTTGTTCCAGCACCATTTGTTAAAAAGATTATTCATTTGTCCTTTCTCCATTCAATTATTTTGACAGCCTTCTTGAAAATCAGTTGAGGAAAATAATATGAGGGCTTATTTCTGGATTCTCAATTCTACCATTGATCTATATGTCTGTCATTATGCTAGTACCTTGTTATTATTTCTATTGATGAAAATAAGACAAAATTATTACAACCTAAAGCAAAAATATCAGACATAACACATCTCAACTCTTTGTATATATGTATTTAAGACTTTTAAAAAAAGATTTTATTGAGAGAGAGAGACAGCATGAGAGAGAGAGAACAGAAGCAGGGTGGAGGGGCAGAGGGAGAGGGAGAAGCAGGCTCCCCGCTGAGCAGGGAGCCCAGCACGGAGCTTGATCCCAGGACCCCAGGATCATGACCTGAGCAAAAGGCAGACACTTAACTGACTGAGCCACCCAGGCACACCAAGATTTTTTTTAAGTAATCTCTACACCCAGCCTGGGGCTTGAACTCATGACCCTGAGATCAAGAATCGCATCCTCCTCTGACTGAGCCAGCCAGGCATCCCTCAACTCTTTGTATTTTTATCAGCATCCATAACTGACACCAGATTAATTTCTTAAATTATGTAATTACTATGGTAACTTATAGAAATAATTGTAAATAATTTTAAAGAAAAATAAACCTATAAAATATAAGTACATTTTAACAGAAAATTACACTAGCAATCCTTTGTAGTCTTGGAGTTGCCTCATAAGCATCCCAAACAGATTGACGAATACTGGGGCCATGTGTAGGAATTAATTCATACTTATTTTACTTGGTAGTTTGCTCTTTAGTTATTGATACTCAGTGAAGTACAGGATTGGTGTTTGCTATTCCAGTACTGGATACATGGTATGGGATTTGTTGTGCTTTGTTGGATGATGTTTTGCTCTGTAACACTTTCTTCGGTGATACCTTAGTGATGTCCTGTTCTCTGTTGCTTATAACAAACCACCTGAAACTTCAGGTCTTTAAACAAGCACATTTACTTTGCTTATGAGCCTGCAGTTTGCTCAGGGCTTGGCAGGGGTGATTTGCTGCCCCTCTGCCGTGTATGGGGCCTCAGCTGGGGCCGCTCAAAGCATGGAGCGATGGAACAGTGGGGGGCTTGTGGGGGCCGCTCTCCTCATGTAGTCTCAGGGCTTCTCACTGTGCCCTCTTTCTATGGTCTTTGCATCATGGCAGCCTCAGCATAGTTAGAGTTCTTTCTTAGTGACTCTGGGCTTCTAGAGAAGGTGGCAAGAGACCAAGGTAGAAGCCTTGAAAGTCACACAGTGTTAGTTCTGCTGCATTCTGCTAGTTACACGAGTCACAGGGCAGGGACAATTCAGGGTTTGCATGTTGGAGGCATGGTCTGTGGGCAAGTCATCTCTGGAAACTGGCTACTGAAGGATGTAGCTAGATGTAAGTTTTTCTGTGGGGTTTCCAGGAGGTGGTCAGCTATAGTTGCTCAAAGAAGGCTTTCCTCTGAAAAACAACCTTAAAATGACTTTCTATGAGTTTATGCTGCCAAATGCTTGAAGGTTCAGTTTCCCCGCAAATGTTTCTTTACTAAAATTAGAGTATGTCATATACTAGAAAATATAATTGTCAGGTTCAAATTCATTGAACAAAGAAGGCAAGTTCATGTCAGTGAAGGGTCCCGTCTTCAGTAAAGTGAAATTATATACCAGATAACACTGCATCAATTTATGAGGTGAAACTTGCTGGAAAGGCAAGCAGAAGTGGGAAAAAAAAAATCTGTTAGGTTTAAGAGACTTTTAATATCCCTCTCTTGATTCTTCTCAGTCCAGATAGACAAAAATAAATAGGAATGTCCAGGATTGATTCCATAAAGTTGATCTGGTAGCATAGATAAAATTTTATATTCTGGGGCGCCTGGGTGGCTCAGTTGGTTAAGCAACTGCCTTCGGCTCAGGCCATGATCCTGGAGTCCCGGGATCGAGTCCCACATCGGGCTCCCTGCTCGGCGGGGGGTCTGCTTCTCCCTCTGACCCTCTTCCCTCTCGTGCTCTCTGTCTCTCATTCTCTCTCTCTCAAATAAATAAAATCTTAAAAAAAAAAATTTATATTCTGCCATCAGATTAATCAAAGGCAGAAGAAATAAGTGATAAAATTCATCCTCCATTCTTGATAATTAACAGCAAACTGAAAATAGAAGAAAAGTTCCTTAAACTAGTAAAGGCTATTTATGAGGATCACATGTGAGACGCGTCTACCTGTGAATTACTGGAAGCACACCCCTCGGAGGGGGGAGGACATGGCTGCTGCCCTGCTTCTCTTCCAGTTGGGCCTGTGCCTTTGAGTTAGGAGCGCTAAAGAAGGGTCCCACCAACGCACGCTAAGTACCCTGGGAGCACAGATGTAACCTGATGGGTGTCCAGTGCTGCTGACAGAACCAGTACGAGCTGCGGCCTTGGAATGCCAGACGGAGCCCCGGGAATTACCTGGCTTGATCTCCATGCTGGTTTTGCAGGGCCTCAGGCATGAAGAAACATGATACTTGCCGACCCACAATAGGATGTAAAATTTAGAAAAAGAGCCTTTCTCAGGATGGTGTTCATATTCTTTCTTGATCTCATGATTTCAGTTTGCTATTGTGGTTCAAAGTCATTAGGATTTCACTCCCAGGACTGAAAGTGGATTTTAGTGTCTTTGGTCCCAGATAAAGTAATACACATCCACCTTCAGTTTGAGCCCTGACTGCCCAGAGCTGTGTAATCCGGTATTCTGGAGCATGCTGTGGTCCGGTTGCAGACGCACTTAGATTCCATGCTCTGTTCCGCTCCCGAGGCATCTGCTAATCACAGAGGACATTACTCATCACCTTAATAACCGCTGTGGTTGTCAGTTACTCTTTCTGGGCTGTCAGCTCCTGGATGGTGCTGTTTGGTAGCACCTCGTGGGCTAGTCTGTGTTTTCATTAGGTCTGTTCAGGAAAAAATAGCAAAAAATGCTCTGTCTCGGGGTGGCTTTTCCAGACTCTGAAGTAACCATGATTCTGATGCTCTGTTCTGTCTTTCTGTTGCAGATGTTGCTGCCATAGCGTGTGGTCGCGAGTTCTTGGTTAACTCAAGTCGGGTGCTGCTGGACACCATACTGCAGCTTCTGGGGGACCTGAAGCCAGGACAGTGTACCAAACTCAAAGTGTACGGTGGACGATGTTAAAAAGCTCATGTTTATTTAGTTAATAGTTAGAATTTGCTGATTGGGCTTCTTTTTCAAGTAAACGCAGTTAACTTGGCAATAGTTCTAAAAAAATAGAAGAAACACATTGCCTGGAGAATTAAGGGATGCACTCTTTATTCAGTACTCTTTTAGAAAAATCATAAGAAACGAAAACAATGTTCTCACCTTAGAGCAATCAGTGAGTCCCAGATGCTATTATGTGACACTTCAGTTTATATTAATTACCTCGAAATGAACCTGTATTCATTTGTTACAGCAGTGTCCCACTGCCAGGGACCCAAATCTGTATTGGGTTTCTACTGGGTAACAAGTCTCGTGGTTAAAACAACACATCCTTCATGCTTCTGTAGGTTAGAAGTCTGAGATGGCTTGCCCAGGTCTCTGACTAGGATCTCTGGCCAAAACCAAGGTGTTGTTCAGGCTGGGCTCTTTTCCAGAGGCTCTGGGCAAGAGTGCTTCTAGGAATGTTCAGGTTGCTGGCGAATCCAGTTCCTTGCACTTGTAGGACTTAGGCCCTTGTTCCTCGCTGGCTATCACATGGGGGCTTTTTTAGCTTGCGGGGCTGACCGAATTTCTGATTATATGAGCCACCCATCTTCGAGCTCTGGCAGCTCACTGAATCCTTCTTACACTTGGGAGCTCTCGGACTTCCTCTTCTGCTACCAGCTAGAGAGAATGCTGTGCTTTTGATGGGCTCATGGGTTTAGTTAGGCATCACGGGATAAACTTCCTTTTGATGAACTCAGAGTCACCTGAGGAGTCATGTCAGTTACGTTTGCAGTGACTCTCTGCCATAGAACTGACCACGACCAGGGTGTTACGTTGTGTCCAGCCTGGGGACTAGGGCAGGAGATGTTGGGCCATTTTAGGATTCTGCCTATCACACTGTTCATTCTAGGTGGGTGCTTTTCCTCCTTGGAACATTGTTTCTAATAGCTTCTTTAAAGTCTCTGTCATCTTGGTCTGGTGTTTCTTGGTGGTTTTTTCCCATGCGAGTTGGGATTTTTCCCATTTCTTCATGTGCTCAGTAATTTTGGGTTGTATTGTGGACATCTGAATATTGTGAGACCCTGGGTCTTGTTGAAACTGTGGAGAGTGTTGATGTTTTTGTTTGAGCAGGCAGTCAGCCTGGTTGGGTCCAGATCACAAGCTCTGACCAGCCTTTTGGGTATCGTGCTTTCAGGGTCACTTCCAGCTTCAGAACTGGCCTCTGGTGCCACCCGTGCCAGCCTGACACCTGGGTCATCGCTGGCAATTTACTCCTCAGGCTGGGATGTGCTGTTTGTGATTGGACTCACATGTGCACAGCCTGGTGTGAGGCCAGGGGTTCTGAAGAGCCTTGTGAGGTCACCTGCCTGATCTCTTTACTGTCCGCCGTGTGCTGGGTACTTGTTAGTTACTGTCTTATAAAGAATGCTTGTGTTCTGTACATCTGTCTGCCTGTCTCGAGATGGATATTACCAGTGAGGTTGAAACTCTTTGCACAGGTTCAGAACAGGTTTTTTTCCTGTGAATTACCTGTTCATGTCTGTTGCCTGTTTTCTGTTGGGTTGTATTTTTCACGACTTGCTGTTGTTTTTTATGTGTTCTGGGATACTACACCATTGTTTGCATCTGTGGTCTGTACAAGGTCAGTGTTTATGGGGCCAGTTAGCCCCCTGCTCCACTTCTGAGGCAAGGCTTTGTGTGGGGGCTGCATCTCTTCTAGTCTCTGTGGTTCCAGCACATGGAGCTCTGTGCCTTTGCATCTTAGGCAGCCCTTGTCCTGCAGTGGGAGATGGGCAGACTTGCATTCAGAGATGTTTGCTTGCTTTCTTGGCAGTTTTCCATCTGCCAGGGAGCAAAGCCCACGTATGGACTGTTCGCCTCAAACCCCACTTGGGATCTCAGCATGCACCGTCCCGAAGCGGCTCTTCTCACTTCATAATCTCTGGCCGCCTTCTGATTTGCATGCCGCTTGGTCATGTTTTTCGTCACTGCTCACTCCCAACCTGGAGTCCTCTGGAACCAGGACCTTTCTTGTACTGCAAGTAAACTTATCTTTTTGGCCTCTCTCTCTGGACTGTAACTTGCCTCTTTCCTGGGGATTTTGCTTTCCTTTTCACCTCTATGATCAAAGGCTACTCATTTTCAGCAGTTTGGGTGCCTCAGACCTAGAGATGGAGATTTTTAAAAAAAAGACTTAAATTTTTTAGAGCAGTTTTGGTTTCACAGCAAAATTTGGAGGAAGATACAGAGATTTTCCATACCTTCTGCCCCCACACATGCCTAGTCTTTTCCACTATCAACATCACTCACCAGGATGGTATTTTTTTTTTTGCCAACAATGAACCTACATTGACACATCATAATCATCCAAAGACCATAGTATACCTGAATTTAATCTTAGTGCTGTACATTCGGTCGGTTTGGACCAATGTATAATGACATATATTCATCAGTACAGTAACATACAGAGTGTTTTCACTCCCCTAGAAACGTGTCGTATTCTACCTGTTCTTCTTTCCTCCCCCGGCCCCTGCAACCACGGACCCTTTACTGTCTCCGCAGTTCTGCCTTTGCCAGAGAGTCCTGTCGCTGGAATCACACAGAATGCTGCCCTCTCAGACTGGCTCTGTCACTCAGTGATCCACACTCACGGTCCCTCCATGTCTTCTCATGGCTTTGAGTTTTAAGAGTTCTTTGTATATTTTGGATAATATTCCTTTATCAGATGTGTCTTTTGCAAATATTTTCTCTCAGTCTGTAGCTTGACTTCTTAGTTTCCTAAGAAACTAAGGACATGGTCTTTCACAGAAGTTTTTAATTTTAATGAAGTCCAGCTTATCAATTATTTTTTTCACAGCTTTGGTGTTGTGTCTACAACAGGCATCACCGTATGGGTCATAGATGTTCTCTTGTGTTATTCCCTGGGAGATTTATAGTTTTGCATTTTACATTTGGGTCTGTGATTCACTTTGAGGTAATTTTTATGAAGCATGTAAGATTTGTATCCAGATTCATTTTTGTGTGTGTGGACGTCCAGTTGTTCTAGTGCCACTTGTTGAAGAGACTCTCTTTGCTCCCTTGTGTTGCCTTTGTTTCTTTGTCAAGGATCCGTTAACTATATTTGTGTGGGTCTATTACTGAGCTCTGTTCTGTTCCATTGATCTATTTGTCTTTTCTGTCACCAATACCACACTGTTTTGATCACTGTAGCTTTATGGTGAGTCTTGAAGTCAGGTAGTGTTGGTCCTATAACTTTGTTCTTTTTCAGTGCTGTGTTGGCTATTTTGGGCTTTTTGCCTCTCCGTATAACCTTAGAGTCAGTTTGCTAATATCCACAAAATAACTTGCTGGGATTTTGATTGGGATTGCATTGCATCTACAGATCAAGTTGGGAAGAGCTGACATCTTGACAATGTTGAGTCTTCCTATCCATGAAAGTAGAATCAATCTATCTATCTTTTCTTTTTTTTTTTAAGATTTATTTATTTATTTGAGAGAGAGAGAGAGAGAATGGAGGGGCAGAGGGAGAGGGAGTCTACTCCAGTAGACTCCTCACTGAGCTCAGAGCCTGATGCAGGGCTGGATCTCACGACCCTGAGATCATGACCTGAGCTGAACCCAAGAGTTGAACGCTGAACCAGCTGTGCCACCCAGGAGCCCCAGTCTATCTATCTTTCTCCCTTCCCTTCCCTCCCCTCCCCTTCCTTTCTTTTTTCTCCTTTCTTGTCTTTCTTTCTATCTTCCATTTATTTAGTTCTTTGGTTCATCAGAGTTGTGTAGTTTTTTCCATACAGATCTTATACGTATCTTGTTAGATATATACCTGAGTATTTAATTTTTAGGGCTTGCTAATGTGAATGGTATTGCATTTTTAATCTCAAATTCTACTTGTACATTGTTGGTATATAGGAAAGCAGTTGACTTTTGTATGGTTACTGGTATCCTGAAAACTTGCTATAATCTTATTAGTTCTAGGAGTTTTTTTTGGTTGATTCTTTTAGATTTTCTACATAGATGATTATGTCATCTGTGGACAAAGACAGTTTTATTTCTTCCTTCCCAATCTGTATACATTTTTTAAAAAAAGATTTATTTATTTGAGGGAGAGAGTGCATGCACGTATGTGTGTGAGCAGGGGGAGGGGCAGAGGGAGAGGAAAAGGGAAAGAGGCAGACTCCCTGCTGAGCTCAGAGCTCCACACAGGACTCAATCTCATGACCCTGAGGTCATGACCTGAGCCGAAACTAAGAGTTGGAGGCTTAGCCAACTGAGCCACCCAGGCGCCCCAATCTATCTTTTGTCCTTTCCTGCCCTGTCTTTCCTGTCTTCTCCTGTCCTCTCCATGGCAGACTCCATGCCCAGCAAGGAGGCCAACGCAGGGTTCAGTCTCACAACCCTGCGATCATGACTTGAAATCATGACCTGAGCTGAAACCAGTTTGTCAAGTTTGTCCAGTAAACTATTCCTAGTTTACTGAGAGTTTTTATCATGAATGGATATTGGATTTTGTCAAATGCTTTTTCTAAATCTATTGATCTGATTTTGTGATTTTTCTTTTTAGTCTATTGATGTGATGGATTACATTAATTGGTTTTCAAGTATTGAACCAGCCTTGCATACCTAGAATAAATGCCACTTGGCCATGGTGTATAATTCTATTTACGCATTTTTGGATTCAATTTGCTAATATTTTGTTGAGGTTTTTTGCATCTGTGTTCATGAGAGGTATTGGTCTATAGTTTTCTTGTCTTTATCTGGTTTTGGTATTTGGGTAATGCTGTTCTCATAGAATGAGTTAGGAAATATTCTCTGCTTCTGTCCTCTGAAAGAGATTGTAGAGAATTAATATAATTTCTTCCTTAAATATTGGGTAGAATTCACCCGTGAACCCATCTGGGCCTGGTGTTTTCTGTTTTGGAAGGTTATTAATTACTGACTCAATTTCTTTAATAGATAAAGGCCTATACAGATC